TTCACACCCTTTTAAGTTTATTTTACCATTCTAATACGTCATTCATGAAAAAAATATGCACAGATCAATTCTGTTGCTCGAATCATGCAACAAGCAGCAGAAGACAGTCGAGTTGCGTTCGTCTATGGGCAGCACTTGCATGGGTTGGTGCATCTTGTTGCACACTCCTCCTTGGATGGGCAAGCGCACCCAGATGCGCCTAAAACGTGATAAAAAATAAAATGGTTAGGGAGCGTGGACTTACAAATGATAAATACATAATCTGTACGGATTAAGAACTCGTAGATCTACAATCTAATTCTAAGACATTAATCTTAAACATTAAGTTTTAAAGTCTTGCGAATAAGATACTCAAAAAATAAAATGTGCCAAAAAGAACAAATATCTAGTTACTTTACCCCCTCGCTCTAAAGAAAATCAGGCAGTTGTAAAGATATTCTACTAAACTTACATATCCTTTCCAAAGATACAGGCGTTTTACTTACACTTCTCACAAGGGGCGCATTTGCAACTGGCGCACTTGCAGTCCTTTGCGCAGCCACCCTCGGCACAGACGCATTTCTCTGAAAAGATAAATGATAAGAATTTAAAATAGGAAAATAGGACAATACATTGTGTTACTAATCATTTCAAAATTTAAAATCAAAATTAAAATAAACACTAATTAGTATTCACGAATTAAGTTAATCAAAATAACAGTAAATTGCAAAGTGACGAACTATAATCTCTAAATAGTAGTAGTGATTAACAAAACTCGAGTATCATGCAGTAAATTTTACCAAGCAATTTCCTAAACCGAACTTATAAACAACTTTAAAATATCAGCGCCAAAGCACAAACTAATAAAAGGCATATTAACAGTTTCTTACCGTTACAGCATGGATCAGGCATTTTGTAGTAGTTTTAACAGGAACACTGCACACTAAGATACTTGGAACTTAAGCTCTGAAAGTAACCTGCAAACGACAAGCACCGTTCCACGCTTATATAGGCGATTGATGCGAATTTCCGCTCCGTGTCGTGTGCAGCAGTCACAGTTGCTAGTTTCGGAATTTCGGACCAATTCTCTTTCTCTCTCTCTCTCTCTCTCTCTCTCTCTCTCTCTCTCTATCTATATCTATCTATCTATCTATCTATCTATCTATCTATCTATCTCTGCTCTTTGTCTTTCTCTCTCTCTGTTTATATATGTATATCTATCTGTCTATCTATCTATTTACATATATATATATATATATATATATATATATATATTATATATATATATAATATATATGTATATATATATATATATATACATCATCCCGGGATTTTTTTTTTCTTATTATTTTGTTACTGTTCTGTTTATTGTCTCTACACATAGATAGTTCTGCCAGTGTCAATTAATAGACCTTATGAGCACCTGATTTCACCTTTCTTTGGGTTTGCAGGAAAACGCTTTTTTTTATTTTATCAATATTGCTGCTTTTATCTTTATCATAAACATCATAATTACTATATTGTTATTGACTTTCCTAATAGATATATTCACTACCAGAAAACATACATTACATACATACATTACATACATACATTACATACATACATTTCATACATACATACATTTCATACATACATACATACATTTCATGCATACATACATTTCATACATACATACATTTCATACATACATACATTTCATACATACATACATTTCATACATACATACATTTCATACATATACATTTCATACATACATACATACATTACATACATACATACATTACATACATACATTTCATACATACATACATACATTACATACATACATACATTACATACATACATTACATACATACATACATTACATACATACATTACATACATACATACATTACATACATACATTACATACATACATACATTACATACATACATACATTACCTACATACATACATACATATATACATTACATACATACATACATACATTACATACATACATACATTACATACATACATTACATACATAACATACATTACATACATACATTACATACATACATACATTACATACATACATACATTACATACATACATACATACATACATACATTACATACATACATTACATACATACATACATTACATACATACATACATTACATACATACATACATACATACATACATTACATACATACATACATACATTACATACATACATACATACATTACATACATACATACATACATTACATACATACATTACATACATACATACATTACATACATACATACATTACATACATACATACATTACATACATACATACATACATACATACATTACATACATACATACATACATTACATACACATTACATACATACATACATTACATACATACATACATACATACATACATACATACATACATACATTACATACATACATACATTACATACATACATACATTACATACATACATACATTACATACATAATACATACATACATATAC